TCGAGCTCCGCGAGCCAACTTTCGGGGCCGCAGGGCCATCGGAAATGGATCCCTAGGGCGAGCACGTCCCTCCGTGGAATGGGCCCAGAAGTCGTGAGGCCGCGCGCCGAAGATCGCCCCAGCGAATTACGCCCGCGGTAGCCGAACGCAGGCTTCCGGGCGTCGTGGAGCAGTCAAGACGGAAGCTTCTCCGTGCTTCCTGGGAGCCGAACCGCTCGTGCAGGTCCCCATCCGTAAAACACAGAAATAGAACATAAACAAAAATGCAGGTCCCCATCCGTCGCCTCCCTGGCTCCTCTTCCTCTGGCCGTTATCCTCCGCCGAGCCTCTGTTGGGTGACCTGGGTCCAGGACGTCGGGCGAAAGAAGGGGAAGGGTGCCCCAGCGCCCAGCGACGAAGAGGAGGAGGAGGAGGAGGAGGAGGAGGAGGAGGAGGAGGAGGAGGAGGAGGGGGGGGGCAGGACGGCGATGATGTTGAGGACACTGCTGGTCATAGTGGTGCGGATAGTGATGATGATGATGATGTTGTTGGTGGTGGTTATGTTGATGGTGATGGTGATGGTGATGGTGATGGTGCAGACGTGATGATGGTGTGATTGTGGCAATGGTGATGGTGATGATGCTGCTGGTGCTGATGATGATGGTGATGATGGTGGTGGTGATGGTGGTGTTGTTGATGACGATTATGGTTGTGGTGGCAATGATGATGGCGACGAGGATGGCGATAACAGCGACAACGACGATTATGCGGATGATGATGTTGATGATGCTGCTGATGATGCTGCTGATGATGATGAGGATGACGATGATGATGATGGAATTGATGATGCTGTTGATGATGGTGGTAACGGGCGTGTTGACGATGGTGGTGGTGGTGACGATGATGCTGATTATGATGATGATGCTGCTGATGATGATGATGCTGACGATGATGATGATGATGATGATGATGATGATGACGATGCCGATGGCGATGGTGATTATGATGCTGTTGATGTTGGTGAGGATGCTGATGATAATACGGATGATGATGATGATGATGATGATGCCGATGATGATGACGACGCTGATGCTGATGATGCTGATTATGATGTTGTTGATGATGATGACGACGATGATGATGATGATGATGATGATGATGGTGATGATGACGATGCCGATGACGATGATGATGATGATGATGATGATGATGATGATGATGATGATGATGATGCTGATGATGATGATGCTGATGCTGATGATGATGATGATGATGATGATGATGATGCTGATGCTGATGCTGATGCTGATGCTGATGCTGATGCTGATGATGATGGTGGTGGTGGTGGTGGTGGTGGTGGTGCTGATGACGATTACGATGACGATGACGATGATTAGGAGAAGGAGGAGGAGGAGGAGGACGAGGAGGCGGATGATGATGATGATGAGGAGGAGGAGGAGGTTTCAGCAGCAATGTCGCGAGGGCGGAACCAATCGCTAACTGTTTAGTGACCTCTGGAAGAGGCTGCTGCATTCGCGGCCTCCCTCGTCTGGACATGGGCCAGGAGAGCTTGCGTACCAACTGCCTGTCGGGAGGTGGCGGGAGCGTGGCAGCATTCTGCATGTAGGTGGCTCCTCGACGAGACGACTGGCCCAGACTGGCGTTCCCCCTACGACAGTCGGGGTGAAGCCCCGCAAAGAGGCGACGGAGAATCGTCGGGGCTCCAGATTTTGTTCCCAACCCTCCTTGGTTGGATCTTCGTTCTGAATGTCGCGTCCTCCTCCTCCTCCCGCCTCCCGCCTCCTGCCTCCCGCCTCCCGCCCCCCTCCTGCTTGTCTCCTCTTGCCTTGTTTGGGGGGTTGCGATCCGCGAAACTGTCGCCACTTTCGAGGCTGCTGGTGGGTCCAGCGGAGTGAGGCACCGCGCGGATCTGAGCGGGACTTCCCCGTCCCTGGGGGGCTGCGATCTGCGAACCTGTCGCCATTTTCGAGGCTGCTGGTTGTCCAGCGGAGTGAGGCACCGCGCGGATCTGAGCGGGACTTCCCCGTCCCAGGGGGGCTGCAATCTGCGACATTGTCGCAACTCTCGAGGGCTGCTGGTGGGTCCAGCGGAGTGAAGCACCGCGCGGATCTGAGCGAGACCTCTCCGTCCCTGGGGGCTGCGATCTGCGAAACTGTCGCCACTTTCGAGGGCTGCGCTGCTAGTGGGTCCAGCGGAGTGAGGCACCGCGCGGATCCGAGCGGGACCTCCCCGTCCCAGGGAGGCTGCGATCTGCGAAACTGTCGCCACTTTCGAGGGCTGCTGGTGGGTCCAGCGGAGTGAGGCACCGCGCGGATCTGAGCGGGACCTCCCCGTTCCTGGGGGGCTGCGATCTGCGATATTGCAGTTGCTTTCTAGGGCTGCTGGTGGGTCCAGCGGAGTGAGGCACCGCGCGGATCTGAGCGGGACCTCCCCGTCCCTGGGGGGCTGCGATCTTCGAAACAATCGCCACTTTAGAGGGCTGCTGGTGGGCTCGCCACTTTCGAGGGCTGCTGGTGGGTCCAGCGGAGTGAGGCACTGCGCAGACCTGAGCGGGGCCTTGCCGTCCTTGGGTGGCCATGCCATGTTGTTGCTACCCCACCGACGTTTTAAGCCCCTTGCCCACCGTCTCCTTTTGGACCTTGCGTCTTCGTTAGTGACTCAGGGGTTCACCTAGTTACTCATCGTGTTTCCCTTGATTGGGGACCTGCGAACCTTCCGAATGCCGCTCGCAGAGATATATGCGTCCATGCCACGTCGCCGCCTTCTCGTCGAATCTCCCAAGCTACTCCTGCCCCGCATTGCGCAGGGGTTGGGTACGTCGCCAGGGTATTTTTTGCAACTGGCAGTCACTGCCGAGGAAAAGTCAGCGACGGTCTTGGTAAGTGCCGCATGTGGTACAAGCGTAGATGCCTGACTCCTTGCCGAGTTTGGTCACGCGCGTTTGGGCTAGCGTATGACCTTTACTGGAATCTAGAACTCCTTGCCCCGTCTTACCAGGACCAGGGCAGTCTGCCACGTGCCTCGTCTCGGGGCCTTTCCCAGACATTTTTCAAGCAACGGGCACGACCTTCCTCCAGAGCTTGCCAGTGATGCCAGATCCCGTATTTCATGAACTTAGCACCGAGGTCCAGAGGGGCTCCCATCAAACTGCTCAGAGGCAAAGGCACACGCAACATTAGGCCATCACTCGGGCCTTTAGCTTAAGCTTGTCAATCCTGCGGTCCACCTCCTCACGGTCGAGCGGGCAATGCTGGGGGTGAGACGAGAGGGCATGTTGAGCACGGCCGTCTGGTTCCACCTCCCCCCCTCTCTCCCTCCCTCCCTCCGCCCTCCCCAGACCCTTGACGTCTTGATTTCCCAGACATGCGACGTCCGGATTCTTTCAGGACGGCGTCCCCGGAAGTCCCGACCCTTTCCCCGCGGGACCAGTTTTTCATCCCGCGTCGTTTTTTGACAGCCCTGGGGCCCGGCGAGAGCCCCCGGGGGCCGAAAATGGCGACAAACCTCCGTCCTGAACGTTCTACGACGCGATCATGTCTGGGCCAGTCTCAAGGAGGACTCACGGCTGTCTCGATCCCTTCGGGACCGGTTTTCCGCCCCGAGGTGTCTCTTGACGGCCAGCACATCGTCTTCGGCACCGCCTGACCCCGAGGCTTTGCCTCCTCCTGGCCTCGACGTAAGACCTCTCCTTCTGCCCCCCCCTCCTTGCTTCGCGCGGCCCGCTTAGCTTCGACCGGAAGAGGTGCGCTCTCGACCCGCGAATCAAAAAATGTCTCTTGACGGCCTCGGGCCCGGGCGAGGGCCCCCGGAGGCCGAGCACGGCGGGACCAGCCTCCCGTCGTGATCTTCTCACGGCGCGAGGGGGCCTGGGTCCCTCCCTGCTCCCTCCTTCCCTGCCTCCCTGCCTCCCTGCCTCCCTCCTCCCGCCTCCCTCCTCCCTCCTCCCTCCCCCTCCTCCTCCTCCTCCTCCTCCTCCTCCTCCTCCCTCCTCCTCCTCCTCCTCCTCCTCCTCCTCCGCCTACTCCTCCTCCTCCTCCTCCTCCCTCCTCCTCCTCCTCCTCCTCCTCCTCCTCCTCCTCCTCCTCCTCCTCCTCCTCCTCCTCCTCCTCCTCTCTCCTCCTCCCGTAGGGGAGGGGTCGGGACCCTAGGGTCCTCCTGGCGCAGGCGGGGAGCGCCGGGCCCGAGGGGCGAAAAGCCCCCGCACCCCGGGGGACGCCGCCAAAGCGCGGTTTCCTTCCCCCGGGGGGGTCGCCAGGTCCCGTGGCCTCCCCCAGGGCGGTGCTGGGTCCCCCCCAGCGCTCGCCGCCCTGGGGCGGGACCGGCGGCTCGTCTCTGTCGTGTCGTTCGTCCGTGTCGTGTCGTTCGTGTCGTGTCGTTCGTTTGCGTCCCCCCGTCGTGTCGCGTCGTGTCGTGTCGCCCTTTTTGGTTCGGTCCTGGGGATCCCTGGGCCCGAAACCGCGGCCACCTATGGAGTAGGTGGTGGGTAGGTGGGCGTCGGAGCTCGTGCTCTGGCGCCCCCTACCCCGACCAGGGAGCGCGGAGTACGGTCTCCTTGTGCTCCCTGGTCGCGCCTGGGCACGCCACGGGGGCACGGCCCCGACAGTGGCGCTGCCCTGCAGTCTCAGCCACCTGGCTGGGCTTCGCTGGATGCGAGAGACGCAGCAGCCCAGGTAGGCCCCAGATACAGAGTCTGGGGTCATCGGCGCTAGCCACGTCAGAAGGCTATCGCTTCTGCCCTCGAGCAAAAAAAATCCTCTCTCTCCTCCTCCTCCTCCTCCTCCTCCTCCTCCTCCTCCTCCTCCTCCTCCTCCTTCTCCTCCTCCTCCTTTTCCTTTTCCTCCTCCTCCTCCTCCTCCTCCTCCCCATTTTCCTCCTCCTCCTCCTCCTCCTCCTCTCCCCCCTCGCTCCCTCCATTCCTGCCTCGCTCCCTCCCTCGCTCCATCCCGCCCTCCCCGCCCCCCCCCCCTCCCTCGAACATGCTTCCCTCCTCCGCGCCGCAGGCCGTGGCGGCCGATGCCGTGGCAGCCGTGGCCCTGCTGCTGCTCTTCGGGCGGACGCCTCCAGAGAACCCCCCCCTCCCCCCCCGCTCCCAGCTGCTCTCTCCCTCCCCCCCTCCCTCCCCCCTCCCCCCCCCCCCCCCGCCCACTCCCTCTCTACCCTCCACCCTCCCTCCCTCGATCCTTCCTCCCTCCACCTCCCCCCACTCCCCACTCACTCTCTCCCTCCACCCACCCCTCCCTTCCTCGATCCTTCCTCCTCCACTCCCCGTCCCTTCCCACTCCTCTCTCCCTCCCCCTCCCTCCCTCCCTCCCTCGATCCTTCTCCTTCCACCTCCCTGCCCCTCCCTCCTCCCTCCCTCCCTTCGTCCCTCTGCCCCCCCCCCATTGCGGCATGCGGAGAGCGGGGGGCGACGGGAGGAGCGAGGGAGGGGCGGACGGAGGGGCAGGAGGCGGGGCGCGGTGGTCTCTTACTCGACCGTTCTTTCTTACCGTTCTTTCCCACCTCGGGCACTCAGCCGAGGTGGAGGGGCAGGACAGGTGGCTGCACGTCATCGACGGTCTACAGCCATGGGCGAGCGAGGCGGGGCGCGGTGGTCTCTGCCAAACGGGGGCCCAGCACCACAGGGCGGCTGGAACAGCAAGGCCCCGCGTAAAACTGCGGTGCCGTCCAGGCCATGACGACGTGGCCGTCCAGACCGTTGCGGCGTGGCCGTGATGCTCGCTCTGTGGCTTCTCGTTGGCCGTGCCGCCCTCTTCGTCTGCGGTGGTCCGCTCGCTTCTCCCGCCCAAGAAACCACACAACAGAGCTGCGATGCCTGCACGGGCCCCCGCTCGGCCCCAGGCCTGCCCACGATGGCCCCGAGACGGACCAAGAGCGGTTCTCCACGGGAGGCCCCCACTGCGGCGGCCGGTGGGCGCCGTCGCACGCGATCCCTGCTGCCTCCCGGCTGCTTGGGCCCGCCCTGGCCGCCTGGCATCTGTGAAACCGCAGGCACATCCACGGAATTCCGGCGCAGGCGGGCATCCCTGGCCGATTGCATCACGAGCGGCGAACATATCCATACGCACTTAGGTTCATGTGGTCTGGACTCCAGGGCGAGTTCCCGCGGATGCGCGGTCGCACGGATATGTTCCGCGCGCGGGGCATCCGCGAAGCAACGCCCCTTATCTGCGGGGTCGCGTCCCAGGGGCCAGCCCGTAACGAGGCCGCGGATACGGACATGTTCTTCGCTCATGGTCACACTGAGGGTGGCTCGCGACAGTTTGCCCCGTCTGCTGGTGCAGAATGGTGGCAGCGATCGTCCTTACCATCCGCCGCTTAGTCATGATGCCCCCCAGCTGGGATCTGGCCAGCACGGGCTGACAAGGCATGCCCACAATGAGGGTACCTCGCTCCAGAGCGTGCCGGAACGCGCTGGCCACTGCTGCGGCGCCCGGTACACCCCCCCAGACCTGTCCGCTTTCAGTCAGAGATTGCCGATTCATCCTCGTCAGAGTTTTTCTTCGTTCTGCCTTCGGCCGAGGCGGGGGTCTATCCATACTGCCGCCTGGGGGATCGACCCCCCAGGCGGTGGCGATGGATCTCGGCCTTCTCGCAACATCTCGGGCCTGCAGGCGTCCGTTCGGGGCGATTGTGGCACCTCCTGAGCGCGCTCCACGAGGCGCAGCTGCTGGAAACCACCCCGTGCGTCTTGAGAGCGCTTCCGGAGATTCCCGGGAGCTTCCGAGACCTTCGAGCACCCGCCTCGCACACGTGCTCGAGTGAGCGTCCGTGCCCCGCCGCCAGAGCCTCCCGCCGGCTCAGGAGCGGGCGTCACACCTCTGCGTCGGCCGCCGATTTCGCCCCCGAGAACAGCGAGGCGCCGCCCTTCGCTCCTCCCGCGGGGCGGCGCGGTCGCCGTCGCTGTACGTCGTCTCTCGTCGGACGTTACGCGATCGTCATCGTCGGTCGTCGTCGTCGTCAGTCCTCGTCGTCGGTCCTCGTCGTAGGTCGTCGTCGATCGCCGTCGATCGCCGTCGTCGGTCGTTGTCGATCGTCGTTGTCGTCGTCGTCGCCGTCGATCGCCGTCGTCGGTCGTCGTCGTCGATCGTCGTCGTCGATCGCCGTCGCCGTGTCCCAAGCTGAGGTTTTCTAGCAATCCATGTGGTGCAACCTATGTGGGGCAACGTATGTGGTGCAATCGATTGTGTGCAACATATGCGGTGCAAGCTATGTGGTGCAATAGGCGTGGTGCGATCTATGCCGTGCAATACATGCGGTGCAACCTATGTAGTGCAGCAATATATGTTCTGCGATCTATGTTGTGCAATCTATGTGGTGCAATCTATGTCGTGTAATCTATGTGGTGCAGTCTATGAAGTGCATCCATACGGTGCAATATATGCGGTGCCGTCAAAATTCTGCGAGGCGGCGACGAGGCGGCGACGAGGCGGCGACGGGACGGTGACGACGCCCGCATAGCGGCCAGACCGAAGACACGGCCCAGACGACGGGTGGCGACGAGGCGGCGACGTGACGGCGACGGCGGCCACATAGCCGCCAGACCGAAAACACGGTCCAGTTCCTTAGAACAGGAGCAAGAACCCCTAAGTAGTGCAAACACTGTTTGGGGGATGAGCAAGAGTGGCCGCCGATGGCGCGCGTGGGCGGCTTCGTTCTCATCGAGACTGACGCAACCAGATGACGACGATGGCTATCAGACCATATTCGAAAAACAACTTGATACAGTCGTCTCAGACCACAGTGGGCCTCAGACACAGCCAAGAAAACAGTGATGTCATCTCTTAGAGCCCAACTTGAGTTCGAATCGCAAGCAGAGAAGACAGTGCATGAACGAAGACACACCGACTCAGAAGCCAAACAGTAATCGCAAACTGCAATCTCTTATAACGGCGCACTGCCGCTCAGCGAGCTGGGACTATGCATGGTCATCACATGCATCAGATGGCCGTCGTGAGAACCGCATTGAGCTCTCGTCACAGCGACGACCCTGGATATCGTACAACTAAATGGCCGAGCGTTCACTTATCAACAGCTCCTGAAGCAGCTGCAGTGGCTGACAGCAGTCATGATTGAATGAACCGAGAATCCGACCAACTTGTCTCGAACCACCCATGTGCTAGATTACCGGGTATCCCCGATTCACGGAATGGCCACCAACGCATTCCAAGTGACAACCAAGACTGACGCAACGACACGGCCACGATGATGCCGGGAAGAAGCAAACTGCGTACGACAACGCCTGCAGAGCTAAGAGTCCGACCAATTCGTGTGGAACATCACATGTGATGGACTACCCAGAGTTCCCGTTCATGGCCGCCAGTAGGAATGTATCGTTCTCATCGAGGTCCGCGGACTCTCGGGGCCTTCCCCCCCACTCCTCGGCAAGCCTTGAATCTCTTCCTCTTCCGCAGAGTTCGATTTCACCTGTGGGAAAAGTGTGCTCGCCTCTCGGCTGCGCTCCACCTCGTCTTCCTCCTCCGCCTCCCCCCCACCACCGTGCGTGAGGAAGGACTGGGTGGCTTGGGAGAGGAGACGCCAGCCTCTCTCAGGATGGAACCGCTCTGCTGCTCGGCACCCGCGTCGCGAAGTCCTAGAACCTCCTGCACCTGCGCAGTCGGCCGATCCTCATGTCGACGACCTCGCTGTCGCTCGAGGTACCGCGGCGACGGCAGTGCTGCTGTGTTTTGCGCTGGTGGCCACTTGAAACGCAGCAGCCATTGCGCCCAACGCTGCTGCTTCTGCAGGGTTACCTGCGTGGCATTAATTTGCCATACGTCCTGGTGTGCCACCTGCGCGGGGAGGGATGCCGCGGATGACTTCTGCTCAATGTATTGGGCCAGCATAACCGAAGAAGCCAAGGATACGGAGAAGGAAGGGGAGGAGTAAGAGGAGGAGGAGGAGGAGGCGGATAAGGAGGAGAAGAAGGATGACACAGGAGAGGAGAAGCGGCAGCAGAAGGAGGATGGCTTGGAGGAGGAGGAGGAGGATGATAAGGTAGACACAGGTGATGATGATGCTGATGATGATGATGATGATGACGGTGGTAATGGTGACGATGACGATGATGATTGTGGTGATGGTGATGATCATGTCGATGATGATGCTGATGATGACGATGCTGCTGCTGCTGCTGATGATGATGATGATGATGATGATGAGGGTGGTAGTCATTATGATGATGGTGGTGATGACGATCATGATGGTGATGGTGATGGTGATGGTGATGGTGATGATGCTGCTGACGATGATGAAGATGCTGCTACTGCTGATGATGATGTTGATTATGATGCTGATGATGGAGATGCTAAATCTTGAGGGCGATGATGATAGTGATGATTATGGTGGTGATGTTGGGTATGTCGATGGTGACTGTGACGAAGCCGTTGACGGTGACGATGGTGATGTTGATGATGCTGACGATGTTGATGATGTTGATGATGCTGATGATATTGATGGTGATGGGGAATGATGATGCTGCTGATGATGATGGTCATGCTAGCGATAATCATGGTTATACCGCTGCATCTGCTGACGACGATGGTAATGAGGGTGGTGGTCATGATGATGGTGGTGGTGATGATGATCATGACGGTGATGGTGACGGTGATGATGATGCTGCTTGCCATGATGAAGCTGCTGCTGCTGCTGCTGATGATGATGATGATGATGAGGCGGCTGATGATGATCATGATGCCGGCATGGCTGATGATGCTGTCGCATCTTGAGGGCGATGATGATAGTGATGATTATGGTGGTGACGTTGGTAATGACGATGCTGATTACGACGATGACGTTGACGATGACGATGGTGATGATGACGACGACGATGATGATGATGACGATGATGACGATGCTGTTTCTGATACTGATGATGCTGATGCTGATGCTGCTGATGATGCTTCTGATGATGATGCTCAGTTGCTGCCGATGATGATGATGATGATGATGATGATGATGATGCTTATGATGATGATGATGATGATGCTGCTGCTGCTGATGATGATGCTGATGATGATGATGATGATGATGATGATGATGATGATGATGATGCTGATGATGATGATGATGATGATGATGACGATGATCATGGTTGTGGTGGTGGTGATGAAAATGGTGACGCTGCTGCTGATACTAATGCTGCTGATGATACTGATAATGATGATGCTGCTGCTGCTGATGATGATGATGATGATGATGATGATGATGATGATGATGATGATGCTGACGACGCCAATCGTACTAATGGTGATGCTGATGAGGATCATGATGATGCTGATGATGATGATGCTGATAATGCTGATGATGCTGCTGCTGATGATGATGCTGTTGTTGATGGTGGTGACGATGATGCTGCTGCTCAGATTATGTTGATAATACGGCGAACGAGGAAGCTGAGGGGGAGGACGAGGAGGAGGAGGATGAGGGGGTGGAGGTGGAGGAGCAAGAGGAGTTGAAGAGGAAGTGGGTTGGAGGGTTTGAAGAGGACGGGGGAGTTTAAGAGGATCAGTTGATGAGGAGCGGGACAGGGAGAAGAGTGATGCTGGGGAGCCAAGGCAGTAGGAGGGGGATCGTGGGTAGGAGGAGGAGGAGGAGGAGAAGGAGGAGGAGGAGGATAAGGAGAAGGAGAAGGAGGAGGAGGAGGAGGAGGAGGAGGAGGAGGAGGGAGGAGGAGGAGGATAAGGAGGAGGAAGATGAGGATGAGGAGGAGGAGGAGGAAGAGGAGGAGGAGGAGTGCAGGAGGAGGAGGTGGAGGAGGAGGAAATCAAAATCATAATACTAATAATAATACTAATACTCATACTAATACTAACATTATTATTATTGTTATTATTAGTATTATTATTATTAGTAATCATAATATTAATAATGATAAGGAGAATCATAATCATAAGAATAACAAGAATAATATTAATAATAAGAATATTATTACTGATCATACTAAGAAGAAGACTTCTAATAATAATACTAAGAAGAAGGAAGAGGAGGAGGAGGAGGAGGAGGAGGAGGAGGAGGAGGAGAGGAGGAGGAGGAGGAGGAGGAGGAGGAGGAGAAGGAGGAGGAGGAGGGAGGAGAGAGGAGGAAGGAAGGAGGAGGAGCGCGGCCAGGTTGAGGAACACGAGGGGGAGTAACAATCAGCTGCAGGAGGAGCGGCGGGGCGCAGGCCGTGAAGCTGCTCCACATGTGGCAGCACGGGGACCGAGCCGCCGTCGTCGACAACCTGGTGCCGTTCCTGGAGCTGCTGCCGCCAGGCTCCCCTGAGGCCCGCCTCACCACTCCGTGGCCGATCTGCCCCGCGGCCGCAACTGTTTTGTGACTGCCAGAAGGTTCAGAGTCTTCGCGTCGTGAAAAGTCGACCACGCGCAGGGGGAGGCGGGAAGGCTTCTTAGAAGCACCCCTGCTTCTCAGAAGGCGCGGGCCTTATCTGAAGATGTAAGGCCAACGCCTTCTAATAAGCGGCCTCCTTCTAAGAAGCCCTCCCTACTCCTCCTACGGGAGTTGTTGCTGCTGTTTCCATTTTCGGCCTCAGGGGGCCCCCGCTGGGCCCTGGAGCGGTCAAATAAAATGACTCAGGAGGAAGAGCCGGACCCAGAGAATGGGTCGATACTTCGCGGGGTCCACGTTGCGAACAAAGACGCGATGTCATTCTGGTAAGGTAGAAGGGATCTCGGACGTCTTCGTCGGCTCACGGAGGTTCTCTCTGCCTCGGGATCGTTCCAGCAGCTGCGTCTCGCCGAGGGCCTTCCGGGTCTTCCCAGACCTTCCCGAGCGGCCGCCAGAGACTCGATGCAGGACTGGAGGGTTTCTCCGAAGGGCTCAGGCGACCCGTCCTCCTCCTCCTTCTCTCCCCCTCCTCCTCCTCCTCCTCCTCCTCCTCCTCTTCCTTCTCCTCCTCCTCCTCCTCCTCCTCCTCCTCCTCCTCCTCCTCGGGTCGCCTGCGGCCCCGGGGGAAGCCGTGCACCCGACGGCCAGGCGAAGAGGATCTCGGCGTTGCGGGTAAGAGAGCGTGGCCCTTCGCCGGAGTGAGCTCCGGTGCGCGGCCGCGCGGCGCGGAGGCCCCCGAGCCAGGCACGCAGGCCGCGGCGGCCGCACGCAGAGCACCAGCGATCACTCTTGCCTGGGGTCGCTCGTGTGCATGCAGCCTTAGGTCGGGCATGTCCTCCTACAGGCGCATTCCTGGAGGCAAGATCACAGTTAGCCAAAGAATGCACAAAGTAGTCAAAGATAGTCGAGAAATCATCCCCAGGCTATTGTTTGACAACTTAGGAGTTTTCCTCCTGTGGAGGGACACGCCCGACTTATTTGTAGCCAGTGTGCCTCCCGACGGGGAGCAGGAGGCGGCCGGCAAGTGCCGATCGATGACGGCGAGGTTCGAGGCTCGATGGTTGGGGCACCCTTTGGGCTTTCTCGGGCCTGCTGAGGGCCTCTCCCTGCCGCGGCTGGGTCCGCTTCGAGGTTCTGGTCGAAATGAATTCCAGAAGAGGTCCGAGGTCGGATTTTGACCGCCAGATCCTGAGCTCTGGGCGTCGCCACAAAATCGTGCGTCCGTCTGTTTGACGCTTCTGGCGTCTGGAGGCTGTTTCCCGACAGCCCGGAGCGGCAGGAAACTTCTGAGGATGAAAAGCCGGCCCCGGAGAGATCTGCGGGCGGCCCACGTCACGAAACAAATGTTTGCGACGTCGGAGGAGGCTCTTTTTCCTGTTTTTTCCTCCTTCCTTCCTTGCCTCCTTGCCTCCTCATCCTACTGCGAAGGCCTCACGGCCAGTGCCGCCGACCCTGAAGGCGGGACCTCCCCTTGGGCCCCCGCGGGCGATCCCCTCGGGACCCCCCCCCGGACCCGCGGGAACTCGGTGGGGGGAGGGCGGTCTGGCCCAGGACCCCCCCTCCCCGGTCAGGGAGGGGAAGAAATGGGAAATAATCGACAAAACTACGACGTTTCTTGTCCCTTTTGCTCAAACTCCTTGGGACTGGCGCAGACGACGACGACGACGACGACGACGACGACGACGACGACGACGACGACGACGACGACGACGACGACGACGACGACGACGACGACGACGACGACCACGACGACGACGACCACGACGACGACGACGACGACGACGACGACGACGACGACGACGACGACGACGACGAGGGCAAAGCCTTTCGCACACGCCGAATGGTCGGCGGATTTTTCCCTCCTTCCCTCCTCCCCCCTCCCTCCTCCTTTCTCCTTCTTGCCACGGAATCTGTGGGTCCCATGGCACTCATTCTCCGTCCTACTTGTTCCTTACTCCTCTTCCCTTCCTCTCCCCCTCCTCCCGCTCCTCCCTCCCCACTCCTGCTCCTCCTCCTAATCTTGCGCGTCTGCCAGCGACCCCGAATGACCCTGACGATGATGAGGTTCATCTTTAGCCTGGAGATTTTAATACCAATCTCGACGAGGTTGTTGCTGATGATGGCCCAGGCTGCGGTGTTCATCAAGAGCCAGAAGGTGTCCATCCTGAGTTTCATTCCGAGGTTCATCGGGCGTCCATCCTGAGCCTGACGGTGTTCATCCTGTGCCTGACCGTGTTCATCCTGAGGTTCATTCTGGATTCGATGGCGCTCATTCCAAACATGGCGATGGTGAGGCTCGTCTCGAGACGGATGACGGCGATGCTCTTGTTGTGCCAGGCGATGGTGCTCTTCCTAAGCCTGTCGGTGCCCATTACGCTTCCGCGGAGGACCGCGTGCTGTCGCAGGTGCGCTCTCGCGCTCCGTCGCGGCGCCCGCTCGTGACCGCCGGTGCAACGTTGCCGCGCAGCACGGCTTGTGCATCTTGCGGACCAGGCGGCTGGCCGTGAGCGAGGGGCGTTGCCGTTTCTCGGCTCTCTGGGCACTTTCTTTTTGGCTCTGATTGCATTGCATCTTGGCACTTTCTCTCTGGCTCTGGTTACATGGCATCTTCGGGGGATCTCGCCTGTCCCCCCCGAACTGTTTTTTTCTTGCGCCTGACGCGGGCTCGATGCGGACTCGACGCGGACTTGGCGAGGATTCGACGCGACTTGACTCGAATTCGCCGCGGATTCCACGAGTCCGACATGGATTCGACACGGATTCGACGCGGATAGGGGCGCGACGGGACAGACTCAGTCTTCCGAAGATGCAACGTGTCTACGCGCAGCGAGCTAAGACCTTTGCGGCCCAGCTGGAATTTCAGGCTCTTGCCGTGCCCACTGCTCTTAGGCAGCCAAGTTAGAGCAGCCCTCGAGGCGCAGCCATGCGTCTACGTGTTCACCATTCTCGGCCTTCTGGGGCACTTCCGGTGTTGTGCCTTCCTGCTCCCCATGCGGGACGCCAGAGGTTCAGATCATCGGGCCCGGCTTGCGAGTTCTGCGCTGTGGCTTGGGCGTGGCTTCATGGGGGGGGTCACAAATGGGGGGGTCAGAAAAGGTTCCCTTTCGTGCTCCTTTCGGGCCCATCCAGAGCCCCAGGGGGCTCGTTTAGGTACCGTTTGGGTACCTTTTCGGACCACGCTCGCCACCCCCCCATTTATGAACCCCCCATTACGCGGCGCCCAAGTGGCGTGGGCGTCGCAGCCACCGCGCGGTCTGCCAAGACTTCACCGCCTGCTCCGCGGCGGGGGCTTCTGCCAAGCCACCGCCTGGGCGATCGATCCTCGGGGGGCCTCGGCGGGCGGGGGACGTGGACCTTATAGGGCCCCAACTGGGTGACAGCTGTGTGTCGGGGATGGACAGGCCCCCCTCTAGTAAAACGTGGTTTCGTGAAAACGACCCGAGGCCCAAGCCTGGCGGGCGCAAGCCTGGAAAATGACGGCCGCGGCGCCCTCTCGAGAACCGAAAACGGACGATTCACGAACTTGCATATCCACCGCCCGCCGCGCCCCCGAGGGTCAATGCCCCCCGGGCGCATGGTCGTGGGTGAGTCTCCGTCTCGCACCTGCACGTTTGGCGCGCTGTTCTGGTGTGGGTCGTGTGGGGGCGCCGCCAGGGAGCGGGGTTCGCCTTCCTTCCCGTGCCCGACCTTCCTTTGCGGGCCAATGCGCCTCCTCCTCCTCCTCCTCCTCCTCGCCTCCTCCTCCTCCTCCTCCTCTTCCTCCTCCTCTCCTCCTCATCCCCCTCCTCCTCCTCCATCCTCCCCCTCCTCCCCCCCTTTCCCCCTCCTCCCCCCCCCTCTCTCTTCCTCCTCCTCCTCCTCTCCTCCTCCTCTCTCCTCCTCCTCCTCCTCCTCCTCCCCTCTCCTCCTCCTCTTCCTCTCCTTTGTCCTCCTCCGTCCGCACGCTCTCCTCCCACACCTCTCACTGCTCCAACCTCCTCCTCCACATCTCCCACTACCCTCTCCTCCTCCTCCTCTCCTCCTCCTCTCCTCCTGCTCCTGCTACTGCTTCTCTCCTCCGCCTCTCCTCCTCCTCCTACTCCTCCTCCTCCCCCTCCCCCTCCTCCTCCTCCCCCCCTCCTCCTCCTCCTCCCCTCCTCTCTGCTTTCCTCCTCCTCCTCCTCCTCCTCTCCTCCTCCTCTCCCCGCCCTCCTCCTCCCCCTCCTCCCCCTCCCCTCTTCCTCCTCCTCTCCGCCTCCTCCTCCTACTCCTCATCCTCCTCCTCCGACTCCTCCTCCTCCTCCTCTCCTTCTCCCCCCCTCCCCGTCCTCCTCCCTCCTCCTCTCCGCCCCTCCTCCTCCTCCTCTCCTCCTCCCCTCCTCCTCCTCTTCCTCCTACTGTTCCTCCTCCTCCGCACTCCTCCCACTCCTTCACGCTCCACCCCCTCCCTCCACACTCCTCCACTCCCCCGCCGCCTCCGCCTCAGCAGCCTCCTCTCTCCTGCTTCCCCCTCCCTCCTCCTCCTTCCTCCCTCCGTCCTCCTCCTCCTCCCTCCTCCCCCTCCTCCTCCTCCTCCTCCTCCTCCTCCTCCCCCTCCTCCTCCTCCTCTTTCCTCCTCCTTCCTCCTCTCCTCCTCCTTCTCCCCCTCCTCCCCCTCCCCCTCTCCCCCCCTCCTCCTCCTCCTCCCTCTCCTCCTCCTCCTCTCCTCCTCCTCCTCCTCCTCCTCCTCCTCCTCCTCCTCTTCCAGCGTAAACAGGGCGTGCCCCTGACCTGCTCTGGGTACGTCCTGACCAGAACTGAAAGGGCGGGCATCCAGCAGCGCCGAAAGGAGGGCCCCCGGACGCCCCGACAGGGCGGAAGCACGCCTGGAACCTCGATCTTCGAACTTTCTGCCACCTCTCCCTGCTTCTCCATCTCCTCCTTCCTCGTCCTCCTCATCCTCCACCTCCTCCTCCTCCTCCTCCTCCTCCTCCTCCTCCTCTTCCTCTTCCTGTTCCTCTTCCCCCTCCTCTT